CTGGCTGTCTTCTTTCCCAATACCAAAAAGTAACTCCTAGCCACCTAACCTAAACAAAATAGCATCCCCCCTTCCTGGACATGACTGTGTGTGTAGCTCACTCCTCCCCCAGCGGATTCAACCTGAGTATTAGGCACCAAGCACCAAGCAAGAGAGACACTATGAGTAGGTATGTATGAAACACAGCAGCTTACCCCGCTCAACCCAATGCGATCGATAGTCAGACGTCATTGATGTGACATATCATCTTGATCTCCACTGGCACAGTGAGCATGCAGTACTTTTAGGTCCGCTGCTTTATTGCCGAAACTGCCAAATGTGATAGATCTGATCTCGATACCCGCCACGTTGTTATGCACGCTTGATGTCATTGGCGTTTGGGATTTCATGGCTTTCGGGAGGGTTGTTTCATTCTCTCTAGGTGGTGTAGAGTTGCTTTTGTGGGTGGGGAATTTGGTGATGGAGGGGTGGGGAGAGAGATGTGTCTCTGTCGGGGCAGATAGATGGAGTGGGTGTAGTGTATATGTATGTAGTTGTAGTTGTGCTGGTAGGGGATAGTGGTGTTGCTATAGCTTGCTACCTTGTTTGTAATGGGATCGAGGCTGTCAAGCGCAAAGGAAAATATTGTAAAGTGGTTGGTTGGTTGATTGCCTGACTAGCTGATGGCATCTAGATTCACAGCAATATCGACTTGTCAAAGCTTACCTACCTAATAGTTATGCTTGTTGGCTACTGTGGCAGGAAACCCATCAGCCTGTACGCACACATGTTGGTGCAATAGCTTCGTTCTAGACCCGTCGAGGGTGGGAACTATAGATGAGCAGGACTCTGTAAGACCAACCTCTTTTCCATGAGAATATAATCAATGTGAACCTTACATATTGCCTGAGAAGCTACGCCCGGCTTTGCAATAGACCTAGATGCGATTTAGAATCAAGGTGTCCCTCCAAATCGACTGCGTACATTAGTGCTGTCGATTTGCTGCAACGAACCCGTCAATCTGCAAGGGCGTCTGCAGCGGTTCTGCAGGCTTGCAGAAATCGGCGGTGCCGAGTGTTTGTCGACGGAAGGGAAGCCCACTTCAGGGAGTACTCTTGTTCACAGAGAGTTAAACTGGGTCCTTTGCACTTTTGGAAGAGATATATCAGAAAAGAGAACGAGAGCCAAGGTGTTGTTTTGTTTCAAGTGTAAACCGCCACATGGCGACATCTCAAGTTTCCAGATTATCAGACAAGAGAGTAAAGGATCACAACCCCAGGGCGGTATTGGATAGTGAGTGGAGTTGTAACTACTTACAGTGCGGTAACTTACTGTACACCCGCAATTACAAACTACTAACCCCAATATTCCATCCCGGACCGGGTAAGTTGACCGGCTAAACAAGCTTGATTCACTCTGCACTTTTTTTTTTTCCTTGAGCTGGCAGGAAATGGTCGAAAACAGAGTTTCTGGGAGTCCGTGGATGGCAAGGCAAGAGTTTAAGCATTTTTTTGCTCAGCTTCTTGGGGGGTCGTCTGTTCTTTTCCCCGTCTGAGCTTACTCCGCTCACTTATATCGGCCAGAAGAGCCAACCGAGGAATGGTCGCAAGCCCCTCCCGGCTCTCTACCCATGAATTCCTGGGCTGATAACCAGAATTCGAGGTAGATCTTTACCGTATGTCGGGGTGCTCTTCGGGGGAAACATTAGATACTATGCTTTAGGGTATAATGATTTCATGCTGAGGTTATAGATGTTGAGATTGTTGGATGGTGAACTGTGACCGAGTCAAGCAGAGTCAAGTCACACCTTCTCAGCTGCCGAGGCCACACCCGCACGCAGCAACCCCAGTGCCACCAGTGCGACACAAGTTAACCCACAGCCCACAGCCTGCCCACAGACCACCTCCGACCGACGAACGCACTCCACTGCAATTCTCGGGCGGGAGTGCCCAATTAATATTATCAGATTCGTTCCCCGATAAGCCAAAAGTCTGGTACAGACAACGTGGGAGAGAAAAGTACGGACTGGCTGTCCTTGGGAACAATTCTAGTACCTTCGGCTCTGGTTAGTTTTCCGGGAAAAAGATTTGTGCTTCTATTTTCCATCTTTCCAGCGAGCTAGCTGGTTGGTCTCCAATCCTACTACGGATTATCTTCCTTTTCGGCACTGGTGCGGTGTGGTGCGCCCAACCTCCGTCCAGGGGGGAGAGGGTTTGTTGATCACACTGCAGAGAAAGTGAAAGGGGGGTTGTAAGGTGAAGGGGGTTCTCTTTTTTTTTTCCCGTCTGTTCAAGGATAGAAAAAAACAGAAATTTTAAAAAGTCAAAAAGCAAAAAGCCAAAATAAAGTCAAGTCAAGGGCCTTGATTGCAGGTCTGGATCAAGGTGATGGAGAGACAGGGCCGGTAGGCATTAGAATAGGGCATACATCCATGCAGCAGGGCCGGGGAGTAGTATCCGCTGGTGAGAAGATCTAAATTGAAGGACCGTCGGGGGGGGGGGGTCAGCAGCTGAGCTCGCAGGTTTGAGGTGAGCGCCTTTAGGCAGTGAGGCACACACACCATCCTACTCAATACGTTTGTTGTAAGTATGATTTAGTAGTAGCCTGCTAGGTTCTTCTGTTGAGATACATATATCACTTGTCCTATCAACCACATGGGAACTGATTAAATCTGAAGACTGTCGTCCTTCTCTTCTGCTGATGTAAGTCGACCACGAGAGTACGTACTCCATACAGTTTTTCTGCGCATCACTACATATACTCATAGACCACTCCAGTACGAGTAAAACAAGAGACCCGCGATCATCGGCGGCACCCACAGTTATCCGAGACGAGTTCCCATCATCATAACGGCTATCGCATGATGACAGACAGACCCAACTGCTTAACAGACCTTCTTGCCACACCCTACTTCTAAGTTTTTTATCCTTGCGACCACAGGGCTGGGGGGACACCCAATCAACCGGTTTGGAGTAGCTGGAGTTTTCCCGCCACAGTTGAACCACCACCACCAACATTACCAGCAAGCAGTTCGTTCTTCTCTCCTCTGAACCTTCTTGTCCTTTGTGTTTGTCCCATCAGTCAGTCCATCAGTGAGTCAGTCAGTCTACACTGTTTCCTCCCCACACACAGTTATCGATCAACGGCCGCCTTCCTATCCACACTGGGTCTCAGGCCACCCAGCCAAACATCCAACCAGCCAGCCATCCAGCCATCCAGGCAGACAAACTTCTTGCCTCTCCTCTCATCAACCCACCTGCAACTTCGTTCATCACCTTCTAGCTCCCATCACTGTCGCAAGGAGGAAAAGATTAAGACGGGACCGTACACATCGCTGGCGCAGAGCCGGTCTGCGCGTGGATCCCCTCCATTGTCCAGCAACTTATCAACATCGACATCTTCAAGAGCGGGGCCATTTCAAAGGAAAAGCGGGCCACTTTCTTCTTACGTTGTCGCAATCCAGAACTTCTCTTCCTCCACCTCTCCCTCCAATCCACGTTACAGATTCACCCGTGGTTAAGGTCTGGGACGACTAAAAAAAAGACCCAGTGAGTAAAGGCAAGGGAAGACAGGGAAAAAAAACTCGCAACAGAAAAGGCAAAATAGGAGGGCAAGAAACACTCCCTATCTGCCCATCCAGTCCATCCATTCTGTCACTCGAGTCAACCCTCGACAGGGTGCGCGCAGTTCATTACTATTATTACCTATTAGTACTCGGACACTTCCATCTGATTTATTATCAGTACTCCTCAACTGCCGCCCCTCCTTTCCCTTCATCATCTTGCTCAACCAGACGTCTTTCTCTCACTCTGAACAACATTCTTTTTTTTTTTTTTCCCTCTTTTCATTGTTCATAAAACTTTATTTTCATCATTCCCTCTTGATTCCATTCCTTCCATAGGCCTTCTACGGTTCTTCCCAAAAGGGGTGTTGCCTCCATCCGAGTTTCTCTTTGTACAAGTCTTTCATTGCCTGAATCCGCCTGCCTGTCCTGCCTGTCCTCCCTTTCCTTTCTCCCGTGCGGTGGCTGATAAACTGGAGTTCTTTGAAAAAGTGAATGAACTTCTTGTCCTGGTCCCTAAGCCTTATATTATATTATACTCTCACTACTATCGATCGATTGATTGATAGATAGATTGCACACAGACAGTGACATCTCAAACATCTGTCGGGGCGCAAGTCAACTTAAGACAGGCCGACTTGCCGAAACAAGAATGAAGGTATGTTTCGAAATTGCTGAAACTTGCAAACTGGATCCGATCCAGCTCTAACGCCCCTCGTTTCCCGCCCCTCGTTTATCTCGATTGTCGCTTGTTCTTGTTCCGAGACCAAAATTAATTACTAGCAACAACGACCGACTCTGGCCTGGGTGGGCTGGCTGGCTGGCCGCCCGCTTGCTTGATTGTTTGCGATTGCGGTTTCTCTTTCTGCCCGTCCTCGAGATCCGTCTCATGTCTTGCCCTTCACTTTCAGGCGATTTCTTTTCCACCATCACCCATACACTCATTCATTCATTCATTCTCTCAGTTGATCTACCACATCCTTTTGATCTAATCTAACACTGCTCCCCGCATCATTCTCTAGGCCATTCGACGCTCACTGAAAGGGGAGAAAGATCCCAAATCCCACCATCACCATCACCATCTTTCCATCACGCCCAAGTCCGCCATCGCCATCCTCCCGCCGAAGAAGGTACGTATGTCTGGTTTGCCGTTCCACTTTCCCCCCCCTCCCCAATCTTCACTTGCCCATGTCTCCACATCCCATTCTTGTTCTTTTCCCTCTTTTTATGCTTTGTCACTATTTTTGACTCTTTTACATAACTTAATCCTTTACCCCCCCTTTTGTACCCCTCCTTCGTCCTATTTCTTCCTTCCATGACTACTTGATCCCGATCGCTTCTATTTGTGGGGTGTGGGATTTGTTTTTCTTCGCATCCGCCCTTGGGTCGCCGGCGTCAAGACGGACAAATCATTTGCTCGCAAACAGCTGTTAACTCGACATCCCTGTTTTGCGCATAGGTTATCAAAGCGCTTTTCGATTACCAACCGGAGCCCGGGAACACACAGGAGCTTGCGTTCAGCAAGGGAGACTTCTTTCACGTTATCAGCAGGGAGGACGACCAGGATTGGTACGAAGCGTGCAATCCCCTCATCCCTAGTGCCAGGGGGTTGGTTCCCGTGTCCTTCTTCGAAGTCATCGGTAAGAACGAGAGAGATAGCGTCGGCTCCGTCGACTTCTTTAAAAAGAAAGAGCCGCACGACTCCGGTTTCTCAGATCGCGCCGCGTTCCCCGCCTCCGATTTCGTTCACAGCCCGCCCCGATCCTCGTCGCAGCTCAGGATGTCAGCGTTAGGGAAGGGCTCAAGCCCCATGGTCTACGGCATCGTTCAGTACGACTTCCAGGCCGAGCGACCAGATGAACTGGACGCGAAGGCCGGCGAGGCCATCATCGTGATTGCCCAGTCGAATCCGGAATGGTTTGTCGCTAAGCCTATCGGTCGCCTGGGAGGGCCAGGTCTGATCCCGGTCTCTTTTATCGAGTTGCGCGACATGCAAACCGGTCAGGCGGTAACCGATCCGTTGGAAGCCGTCAGGCGCGCCGGCGTACCCAAGGTAGAGGAATGGAAGAAGATGACGGCCGAGTACAAGAATAGCAGCATCACACTGGGCAAAATCGAGAGCAATGGCTCCTCTTCGATGCAGTCGGTCACGTCTGGAGTGGATCGGATGTCTATTGGTCGCCAAAGCACGAGCCAGATGAGCCAAAACGGCCACATGTCGGTGAGTTTGAGTCGTTGCGCTTCCATGGAGAGTAGATCGCTAACCTGATGCGGGGAAAGGCCTACCACAACCGTAACGCAAGCAAAAGTTCACTGGTGCAACAAGCTTCCCATCAGTCCCAACAAAGCTACCATCAACCTCTCATGGCGCCTATCGCTGCCTCAATTCCTCGTTACTGCTTCGACAATGACAAGTACTGGTATATCATCGAGGCTAAGATGGAGGACGGCCGTTGCTGGGAGTTGTCTCGCTACTACCACGACTTCTACGATTTCCAGATCGCCCTCTTGACCCAGTTCGAGGAAGAAGCGGGTAACCGTGGGAAGCCGCGCACGTTACCTTATATGCCGGGGCCTGTCACACACGTTACGGATGCAATCTCCAACGGCCGTCGTCAGAATTTGGATGAATACATCAAGAAATTGCTGGCCATGCCTCCTCACATCTCCCGCTGCCAACTGGTCCGCCAACTATTCGCACCCCGCGCTGGGGACTTCGAGATTGATCCGAGCGCATTTGGCGAGGACGCACGGTTCTCGGGTGGCTCGCACCATTCGTCGACGCATGAGCCCTCGCGCAGCGTCTCGCGGCAGTCCTCGCAAGCTCCGATCGCCGTGCACACTGATCGCAACTCTCACCAACGCGGGCAGCCGTCGCTGTCTCTGGGCAACGGCAATCCCCCTCCCATGAACCGCCAACCTAGTTCGATTACCCAAGTTTCTACCACCTCAAGCAGCGGCGCTATGAAGGTTAAGGTGTTTTTCCAGGATGACCTGATCGCCATCCGGGTCCCTAGTGATATCAGCCTCCAGCAGTTGAAGGAGAAGCTGATTGACCGTCTGAAGATTCAAGACGAAATTGTCGTCCAGTATAAGGATGAGCCATCCGGCACGTATGTCGACTTGGCCAATGACGCCGACCTTGACACGGCGATCTCACGAAACTCCAAACTCACACTATACGTCGGAATCGCATAGAAGCGGTGATGCTCCACTTATCTTTTATAGACCTGTCTGATCTTTTCTTTCTGTTTGTCCTCGCCCCTAACATGTCAGTTGCGGGTGTACTGGTGTTATGGTGTCCTTCTCTTTCTGTCCCTGGTCATCAGCCTCTGAGCGAGTGTTGTTGTTCTGAGTCACGAGGTTGATACGATGACAAAAATGACATGTCTGAAACGTTTATGCCATCATGTACCCTCTTTGAATTTTCCTTTCCTTTGTCCATCAGGCCATGGCTGATTGTGTCCTCCATACCCTGTTCTGCGTGCGTTGATTGTTCCGTGTACATAAGCCCTCTCCTGCATATAATTTCAGCGACTGTAGGTGGATACCTACTTCATTCTTATACTTATGTACCACTGTATAGGGTACCAACCATTTACCTCAGCTTAGTAGTGTTGGCAGTGTAAAAAGACCAGCCAATCAACCACGGGACAATTTCCGTCTCCGCGGGAATACTTACATCAGCATCGGATCAATTGCCGAGAACCGCATCACATGACGAGCGTCGGAACGAGGTCCATCCCCTTGGCTCTGCGTGGGAATCCATGTGTTGGTCATACTTCTCAATTTTGCGCTAGATCTTGTCTCTCTTTTCTGTATATTGGCACGACTCTCGAAGTGGACTGTATTGTACATATCGCTCCTCTCACGACTTATCTCTTATCGCGTGTCCTGAATCCTCCGTCCACTGTTCCGACTGCGATCCTTTCGTCCCCGCTTTTTGTCCCTCTCCGCCGATTATTTACCGACCGGGCAACCTCGGTCGAAACGGAGCGAAGAAGCGCTTTTCACCAGTTTTGCACTGCTTACATGCGCTTGACGATCGCTACGAAGCGCCTTTGAGACTTTCTTTCTTTTCCTTCTTGATTCTGCTTACAGTTCCTGCACCCATGAGCGGCTCGTCTGCGAAAATCTGCGCGGACTACTTGCCCAGCGCATTGCGGGCCCGGGCCTCTGTCCTGCGTCGTGCCGCACCTGCTCCGCGGGAAGGAGGAGGAGTCCGTCGAGCATGTTCTCGCGACACTCGTCGGGGCTTGCATCATGATTCCCGGGCTGTGCATCCGTGTACGAACGTGCGGGTCTGCGGGGGGTTTGGCCGTGTTGACCTGAGACGGGTCCAGGGCCAGTATGCGCGGAGATTCGCGACGGCGGTTCAGGAGAAGGGCGAAACCTCTCCTGCTACCTCCCCGGGTGCAGCTGGGCTGCGCGGGGGTCCGTTGGCTGAGTATGATGTGAGAGTGCAGGAGGGTCGGTTGCGGGATGATCCTTATCAGCGACGTAAGTATTCCCTTTTCCTTCCGGGTGTGAAGCATGTTGCTAACTCGAGCTTCGTTGCTCCGAACCAGAAATCATCGAGAAGCTCCAAGATCTCTACGAACGCCTGACCTCCTACCACCCGCCTGCGGTGGTGCACCCGAGCCCGGAATCCCTCGACCCCAAACCCAAGTCGTCCTCGTTCTTCGGCTCGCTCTTCGGGCGCAGCAACGACAGCGCGAAGTCGGAGCTGACGATCGCCGAGTCCCTGCCCAAGGGCCTGTACATGTACGGCGATGTCGGGTGCGGCAAGACGATGCTGATGGACCTGTTCTTCGAGACCCTGCCGGACAACATCCGGGCGAAGAACCGCATCCACTTCCACAACTTCATGCAGGACGTGCACAAGCGCATGCACGTGGTGAAGATGAAGTACGGCCATGACTTCGACGGGCTCCCGATCGTGGCGGCGGACATTGCGGCGCGGTCGAGCGTGTTGTGCTTTGATGAGTTCCAGTGTACCGATGTGGCGGACGCGATGATTTTGCGAAGGTGAGACACCCACCCACCGATCTGCACGTTATTTCCGTGGCATCTCGGAATACTAAACAACTACCAAAAGACTCCTCGAACACCTCATGGCGCACGGCGTCGTGCTCGTCACCACCTCCAACCGCCACCCAGACGACCTCTACAAGAACGGCATCCAGCGCGACTCCTTCATCCCCTGCATCAACCTCCTTAAGACCGCGCTGCAGGTGATCAACCTCAACTCGCCGACGGACTACCGCAAGATCCCGCGCCCACCGGCGGCCGTCTACCACCACCCGCTGGGCCCGGCGGCCGACGCCCACGCGCAGAAGTGGTTCGAGTACCTGGGCGATTTCACGCACGACCCGCCGCACCCGACCACCCAGGAGGTCTGGGGCCGCAAGATCGCCGTGCCGCAGGCCAGCGGCAAGGCGGCGCGCTTCTCCTTCCAGCAGCTGATCGGGTCCGCCACCGGCGCGGCTGACTACCTGGAGCTGGTGCGCAACTACGAGGCGTTCATCATCACGGACGTGCCGGGCATGAACCTGAACCAGCGGGATCTGGCGCGACGGTTCATCACGTTCATCGATGCGGTGTATGAGAGTCGGGTTGGTAGCCTCCCTTCCCCGCCTAGCTTACCTCCGTCTACAGATTCAGTACTCAAGACTAATCTCCCCGGATATAGGCCAAACTCGTCCTCACAACCGCCACTCCCCTCACCAACCTCTTCCTCTCCGAGTCCGACGTCCGTACCACCCTCTCCGACCAATCCGGCGACGACCACTCCGACCTCTCCGACGCCATGCGCATGATGATGGACGACCTCGGGCTGTCCATGCAGGCCCTCAAGACCACCTCGATCTTCTCGGGTGACGAGGAGCGCTTCGCCTTTGCGCGCGCCCTGAGCCGTCTCACCGAGATGGAGAGCAAGCAGTGGGTGGAGAGGGGGTTGGCTTCTCCGGCTGGGGACGCCAAGGATGGTGGTGGTGATGCTGCTGCTGATGCCAAGGAGAAGGCGAAAGAGCGGGAGGCGTTTCTGAAGGGGAGGGGGCATTGGGCGGAGGATAATATGTAGATATTTTTGCCATGGAGGTTTGAGGGTGAGTTCCTAGGGAGGTTGTGGTGCGGTGGTTGGAGGGAGATGAGGTGTCGAGTTGGTCTACATTCTTACATTAGATTTCTGGAGATGGATCACGCGGGTATTTCGGGTATCACGGATGGTAGAACATGATAGATAGATCAGGTGGGATGGGATATGCTGAGTACTCGATGATAGAATTGGTCCATGACTAAGTAGCTGACTGTCTGCTTGCATTATGTGTACTCCGGAGTATGTGTGATGGTTCTTAGCTGGTGTACAGAATAGAATGCATGCTCTGGGATCCCGACCTAGTACTCGTGCCAGTCATGCCTTGGGCACTGTGCTCGTTACGGCATTTGCAATCCTGGACACGCCATTGGGTGGTTTATTCAAGGAGTATTCCTACTCACTGTCGATCACGCGGTGCCTGCCAGCTGCTCCGAGGCCACTTTGTCTTTTTCCTAAGGGACTGGGGTCCTGAGGTACAGTACTTAGGGGTTACCTGAGTAAGTATACCCCTGGCCTGGTGCTATAGTCACCAACCACCCTGGTAGGTACTGTACTTATAGAGCTTGAACAACCCGACATACGTATCATAAGTTTCCAACTACGTACATATTGTAAACCAAAAAAATTCAATTGAATGTGTATCTGCTCATGCGCTCACATTACATACCTATCGGGACTATCCCAACTCCAATGACGTCATCCTCATCCTTTTCCTCGGAGAAAAGACCCCCTCCCTCCCCGGAGAACTAGAAACGACTAGATCATGCAGCGACTTTGTTTGGTCTAAGACTCTACCGGGTCTACCTAGTAATATACGCATAGCAGAATCAAGCTTTACGCCCCTCGGAAAAGCGAATTGCGCATTGCGAATTGCTCAGAAACCTACGAAAGTATCAAACCGGTTTAGAGCGGGTACCTGGCTGACATCATGCCCTGACCCGAACTGGCCGGCTACCACCGAACAACTTGCCGGAACCTCGTGGATGGGGATGGGGCCTTGGTTCTTTGGACTTGGGACTTCCCAACAGAGAAAGATGACTGGGCGATCGACTCTCCAAACGGAGAATCTTGCATCATCTGGTTCCTCCTCGTCTGGGCTATGGGGCTAGATGCAGGAGCTGAGTAACGGTGATTAGAAATGGGGGGATGGGAGCGGTCCGTGGAATTGGTTGTAGGGCTGAAGGGAGGAGGGGTTAATATAAAGGGTACCATGGGTGCGAGCGAGGGAGCTCATAAGTACCACACACATATAATCATACACTGAACAGCACAACATGTCCAAGCAGGAAGACCTCGCGCGGGATACCGTCGACCTCTCTGAGGGGAGCCAGGGCAAGCTGCCCATGACGACGGATTATGGGATCAAGGTCGCTGACCCGGATCATTGGCTTCGGGTGGCGGATGCGAAGAGGACGGGGCCTTCGTTGCTGGAGGATCCTATTGCTAGGGAGAAGGTGAGTTTTGCATTGACACCAGTAAAAAGGACTTCGGCTGATGACTTGCCAGATCATGCGCTTTGACCATGAGCGTATCCCCGAACGTGTGGTGCATGCCCGAGGCGCTGGCGCCTTTGGTACCTTCACGCTGCACAAGGCCATCCCCGAGCTTACCACGGCTGGGGTGTTGACGGACACATCACGCGAGACGCCTGTGTTTGTGCGGTTCTCGACCGTGCAGGGTAGTAAGGGGAGTGCGGACACCGTTCGGGATGTCCGCGGGTTCGCTGTGAAGATGTATACTGCCGAGGGTAACTGGGATATCGTCGGCAACAACATGCCCGTCTTCTTCATCCAGGACGCGATCAAGTTCCCCGATGTCATCCATGCCGTCAAGCCAGAGCCGCACAATGAGATTCCCCAGGGCCAGTCGGCCCATAACAACTTCTGGGACTTCCAGTACCTCCATCCGGAGACCACTCATATGCAGCAATGGGTAAGTGGCAATTTGTGTAATTGTGGGATTGTGCAATAGTACTTATGATGAGGTTAGGTCATGTCCGATCGTGCAATCCCCCGGTCGTACCGTATGATGCAGGGCTTCGGTGTCAACACTTTCTGTCTCGTCAATGCTCAGGGACAGCGCCACTATGTCAAGTTCCACTTCACACCCGAGCTCGGTGTTCACTCCTTGGTGTGGGATGAAGCCCTTAAAATTGCCGGTCAGGATCCCGATTTCCATCGCAAGGACCTTATGGATGCCATCGACGCCGGTCAATACCCAAGGTGGAAGTTTGGTATTCAGGTTATCCCCGAAGAGAAGATGGACGACTTTGAGTTCGACATTGAAGATGCTACAAAGATTTGGCCCGAGGAGCTGGTGCCTATTCAGTATATCGGACAATTAGAGCTGAACCGTAACATTGACGAATACTTCACGCAGACCGAGCAGGTGGCCTTCTGCACCAGCCACATTGTGCCCGGAATCGACTTCTCCAATGACCCCTTGCTTCAGGGCAGAAACTTCTCTTACTTTGATACCCAGCTCTCTCGCTTGGGGCCCAACTGGGAGGAGTTACCGATTAACCGCCCTGTGTGCCCGTACATGAACCTCGTCAACCGGGATGGCGCCATGAAACACCGCATCACCAAGGGCAAGGTGAACTACTGGCCCAACCGGTACAGCACCAACCCTCCTACCGCGCCGGAAGAGGGTGGTTTCGCTACCTATCCGGAGAAGCAGCAGGGCGTCAAGACTCGTGGACTATCGGATAAGTTCAAAGAACACTTCAACCAAGCCCAGCTCTTCTACAACTCGCTTTCGCCTATTGAAAAGCAGCACGTTGCCAAGGCATTCTCATTCGAACTTGATCACTGCGACGAGGAGATCGTGTACAAGCGCTTGTCTGAACGTTTGGCCATGGTTGACCTCGAGCTGGCCAAGACCGTGGCGAAGAATGTCGGCGGCGACACACCCACCAAGGCCGGTAAGTCGAACGAGGGTAAGACATCTAAGGGACTCAGTCAGCTCGAGTATCTCTCCGATGAAGCACAGATCGCGACTCGTCGGATTGCCATCCTAATCGCGGACGGATTCGACTACGACTCGTATGTGAAGATGAAGGAGGCTTTGCAGAAGCAGAACGCGTTTGTCTTCACTATCGGCACCCAGCGCCAGGGTGTAACGGCGGAGTCGGGTGAGAAGGTAGTTCCAGATCACCACTTCCCCGGTATGCGGTCAACCCTGTTCGATGCAGTGTTCGTCCCCGGAGGCAAGCACATTGCTGCCTTGACCAAGAATGGCATAGCCAAGTATTGGATCACCGAGTCATTCGCCCACCTGAAACCGATTGCCGGTCTCAATGAGGCGGTTGACTTCATTCGGAAGCAGATCAACCTGGACGCAGTGAAGCACGCCTCCAGTGGTGAGGTGGTGGAGAGTTACGGTGTGGTCACCGGCCATGGCTCTCCAGCAGAGCTACTGCAGCCGTCGTCGAAGATTGGCAAGGACAGCAAGGGATTTCTCGACCGGTTTGTCTGGCAGATCTCGCGGCACAGAAACTGGCAAAGAGAGTTGGATGGTCTGGCGGATGAGATCGCGGCCTAGGTGGTTGGGATCGTTGGGTTAGTTATGAGATATGATAGCACCTCTATGATTAATGAATTTGGTTTTTCAAGGACGTACCGAAGTGTCAGCCACACCAATAAATATCCACTTCGCCCTGTATAGCTCAGGGGTAGGAGTCAATAGTGCGGACAATTTCGGGCTGCATGTGATGTGTGACTACTGGAATTCTGGTTTGTTGCAATGCAAACGCCCTAAGCCCCGAGGCCTGAGGGAATATAAAGGCAGCAGCGTGGCCAGCAGAGCGTTGCTGGTTTTTCCGCAATTCCTTCCTATACAATCACCCTGTGAGCTGTTCCAGGAATCCTCCTCGCGTGTGATCTGTACATCTCAGCCTGGTTCCACGGAAAATCAGTAGGGTGGGTGCAGATGGACATGTAAGGGGCAGGGCTTGACCGGTGAGTTCTCGACCAGCCGTGACTCATTTATCAACCACGTCATTCGTGGTCAGTCTCATTGTTACACCAGACAGAGGGGGGCCATGTCACCCAGAATCTCGCGCTCTCAGCGCTTAATGGTCGTCATTGCAATTTCCTCTGCCTTCTTTGTGTCAGAGATCTCAGGTGCCTATTCTCCTGTCACACCGGGCGTTGAGGTCATTGCTCCCTGTCGCTAACCATTCGATACCATAGTTGGATTTTACACACATTCTCTGGCGTTGGTGGCCGATGCCTTTCATTACGTGCGTCTGGGATGAGACTTTGAGAGACGATTGCTGATGATTGCAGTTGAGCGACTTGGTATCCTTTATTGTTGCCTTTCTAGCTCTCAGGGTAAGTGAGCTTGTGCACCGAGAAAAAAATGAGAAAATGCTGGAGCGCGTGCTAGGTATCCGAGGCCGATGACTCGCCCAAGGGACTCTCGTTCGGATGGCAGCGAGCCCAGTTGTTGGGCGCCTTTTTCAACGGGGTCCTTCTGCTTGGACTCGGCCTATCGGTCTTTTTGCAGTCCATTGAGCGATTTATCTCGATAGAGCGTGGGTGTCTTTTTGTGTAAGATCGATCCTTAGCTGACTGTCAATAGGCGTCGAGAATCCTAAACTCATGTTTATCATGGGTTCAATCGGCTTAGGACTCAACCTGATCAGTGCGACCTTTCTTCATGGTGCGTTCTGACCACTTTGGCACATGGGGTGTGGTTAACAAGAGGTTAGAGCATCATCACCATGGACATGATCATGACCATCCAGCTCGAGCCATGATAGAGGTCCCGCTATCAAGCACAGAAGATAGCGATGGGCAAGAGAGGCCTGAAAGTCCCGGGGTCCGTCGCGAAAGCTATCGATTCCTGACGTTCATACCAATGCTAACTGTTGAATACAACAGCATGACGATCACAAACACGTTCTACACACAGCTCAGCCCGCTGCTCACGCACATGATTTGGGAATGATGGGAGTTTTGGTCCATGTTCTCGGCGACGCAGCCAATAATCTTGGAGTGATGGCCGCGGCATTGGTGATCTGGCTGACCCATTACGAGGGTCGGTACTATGCTGATCCAGGAACGACTATGGGGATCTCAATCATGATCATCCTGTCCTCCTTCCCGCTTAGTATATCCATCCACTCCTACCATTGGCATTTTGAGTGCTGATTGTTCTAGTGCAACGAGCCGGTCGCATCTTACTTCAGAGCGCACCGGATGGAGTTGATGCTGAAGATGTGAAGCATGATTTGGAAAAGGTGAGTCTCGAAAGGCGTAACTGTTCCAGCGCTGACTAGAAGCTAGATTCCCGGCGTGTTGTCGGTTCATGAGCTTCACATTTGGCAGTTGAACCAGCAGAAGACACTGGCATCTGTCCATGTAATGGTGTCGGACAGCTCGGTTCCGGCCTTTTTGAGGTTGACCAAGACGATCAATGAATGTTTCCATGCATATGGGATTCATTCAACCACTATCCAGCCAGAGGTGGTGCATCCGGGAGCGATCAGCAGCCTGGAGACAGAGGGATTAGAGAAATGTCAAGTCGTATGTGGAACAATGTGTGCAGGATTAACCTGCTGCGGATAGATAGATTCCGAGGCAAAATTATTGAAGTGTTGAGATGGGAGAGGAGGGAGATTGTAGTTAACGAGAAGGACAGACATTTAGAAAGAACAATGAATGGGAGTCATCTGACCTCGATTTAGTCATCTCACCTCCTCAGGCTTCCTTCTCTCTCCGCAACTCTTCTTCACTCGCCTGCTGTTCTTCCCCTCACAGATCGACATCCGACGATAAGAACTCGATAAGAAGTCGGAATATCTTATCTCTTACCCCTCAGGCATGCGGAATTGATTCCGTAAGACAACAAAGGCATTGTGTTGTTCTACCCTTAAAGCACCTGTCTCCTACGATTCCTGGATCTCGCAGAGACTCTGTGGCTGCACAGAAACGTGCCACTCAGGGACGTGTCGAAGACTTAGAAAAGATTCGTTGAACTTCCCTTCAATCAGCCACAATAGGCAGGTACTCGCGATAGCTTGGAGATAAGAAAGACCGCATCCCCACCCGAGGTTGATCGCCTATCTGCACGCCGCTTGCACAGCATCCCCTCTCGCTTCCTCGCGAACCACCGTGATTGGATTGCATTCCGATTCGGAAATGCCTTTCAAGTACCAATCCCGCCTAATTCCCAAGCCTCAATGATGTCGACTGTGCGCTATCTGTGAGAGGGTTGGTGGCTGGACGCGGCACTATAAAGTTGACTTACCCAATTTCCTGCTCCTTGCTTCTGTTCACTTCTCGTTTGTTCGGTTGTAAACCCACCACTATCATTTTGCAACATGGCACTTCCCTGGGAGGTTCAGGCTCAAAAAGCCCGGAATATTCTTTCTAGCTCCATCCCTCAACAATGGCTCGTCCCTGCCGACAACTTGCCTTCGCCAGATGAAAAGAACGTAGAGGACTTCCCGCGCAGGAGCGGGCTGTTCTCCGAGCACGAGCTGGCCATCACTGAGATGTCCGCCACAGATCTGGTACGCGACATGGGCTCCGGAAAGCTTACCGCAGAGGAGGTGGTGATGGCTTTCCTGAAGCGTGCCGTGGTCGGACACCAATTGGTTCGTATAACCGGTTCCGCCGAAGTCTATCAGTCAAAGTGATCCAGCAACTAAGATTAGATGTCCCAGCTCAACTTCGCGACGGAGTTTCTGGCAGACAAAGCAATTTCGCGAGCAAGAGAGCTAGATCGACACTTCAAGGAGACCGGGAAGCTAGTTGGGCCACTGGTAGGATAATCTCATTTGCAAAAGAAGATAGGGAGCTGATAGTCACAGCACGGCGTACCCATCAGCGTCAAAGAGCATATTGGTATCAAAGATTTAACCTGCAATGGCGGCTATGTAGCATGGTACGTTGGCGCCATCCAAAGCGGAAAAGGCATTTACATCTGACTAGATGCAGGGTAAATGACATTGCAACCGAGGATGCACTGCTCCTTCAATACCTCGAAAAAGCCGGGGCTGTTTTCCACGTCCGCACAAATCAACCACAATCCCTCATGGTATCTCTTCCTTCCTATCAAAATTACAACATAGCTGACTATGTTAGCATCTCTGCTGTAGCAACAACCTGACCGGCACGACACTGAATCCATACAACCTCACTCTCAGCCCTGGAGGCTCCTCGGGAGGCGAGGGCGCTTCAACGGGTTTCAAATGTGCCCCTCTGGGTATCGGCACAGATATTGGAGGTTCGATTCGCTGTCCTGCTGCGTTCTGTGGCTCGTATGGCTTCCGTCCGACGGCCCTACGCAACCCAATGACAGGCATCAAGGCGCCCGAACCTGGCCAAGAAGCAATTCGCGGGGTTGTTGGTCCTCTTGCTAGCCAGAGTGTGGCAGACCTCGAACTCTTTCAGCGGGCTGTACTTGATCAACAGCCCTGGGAAATCGAAACCTCGATCCCGCCGGTACCTTGGCGACGAGTGCAGCCTACCAAGGAGATGACCGTTGGAATCATGTGGGATGACGGGTAAGCCTTCTTCGTAACTTGAATCTCAGCCCTCGTCCCGTCACAGTCTTCAGTTAGGAGCCGGATGGCGCGCAAAGCCATCAAGATTATATTACTTGGCTGCTCACTATCTCCAGGATTGTCCATCCCCATCCCCCCGTGACCCACGCACTCAAACTCGCTAAATCCAAGCTCAAAGCAGCCGGCATTAAGGTCGTGGACTGGGAGCCCTACAAACACGGCCATGGCTGGGACATAATTGTGAGTCCTATCCTTGCGGTCATCTCGAAATCCCGCTCTTCTGCTCTGTGCTGACAGTCGAAAGTCTAAAATGTACTATCCTGATGCAGCCCTCCTCCAACGTAGCCTGATCACCGCGTCGGGCGAGCCCACACTCCCCCTGACCTCGTGGGCTTTCACTTACAGTAGCCCCAACCCCCTCACTATCGCTGAGACCTGGACCTTGAATGCTCAGCGCGATGTCTACCGCGATGAGTATCAAGCCTTGATGCGGTCCCGCGGCGTGGACTTCATTCTCTGCCCTGCGTACGTTGGCGTCGCTGCCGTGCTTGGGGAGAGCCACTACTGGAATTACACGGCCATCTGGAACATCCTTGATCAGCCAGCCGTAGTCTTCCCAAGCGGGCTGTTCGTCGGAAAAGATGAGCTGGTAGAAGAAGAAAGGGAGTATGTACCACGGACGAATGGTGTTGATGAACGGGAATGGATGAAATGGAAGGTTGCCGGAGCAGAAAGATACGAGGGAGCACCGGTGGGATTGCAATTGGTAGGAAAGCATTTCAAGGATGAGGAGACACTGGCAGCAGCAGGGTTGGTTAGTGAACTGCTTTCTAGTGCTTAGGAATGCCTGAGGGTATCATGGTTCCTCTCTTAGAATTGGTGGCTGGTCTTGGCCAGATACCTGTATGCCTGTATGTCTTGACTACGAGAAATTCTATATCGATACTCAACAGAGTACAATTTTAATTCACATACTGGCAATATCTGCCCTCAACAGACTTGCCTCAAGGTAATTACTCTAGTCTCAATTTGATCTTTGCAGTCAGTATTCATATTCTCTGGCTTTTGCTTGTGTACTCGATCAAGAAGGGTGCTTTATTCCATCTCAACATCTTGCAGTCCCCACAATTCGATATCTCGATGATATATTGTTACGTTCCGTCAAACATTAGTGCAGTGTTCAGACTGGCATGACCGAGAAACACACCTCGCAGCCATTTTCGCACTATCGGCGACTGAGCAGCACCAAAGCGCCACCATGGCATCGATCTGAAGATCATCGACAGGATACACCGCAAACACAGATTCTCAACCTCTCAACTGAAATAGAATTGAACTTGAACAGACCAAACCATCATCCCTGGCTACGAGGTCAAACCCAACACAGCAATCGACGATGCCTGCATCCGCTCCTCCTCGAATACTGTTCCAACCATCAGCTAGACGGCCTCTATCCAGCAGACCGAATGATGAATCTCGAATTATACAAGCCGAAAGCTTCCAAGAAGAGATCGAGCCGGAGCCGCATAGCCGTCACAGACAAACCTTCAGCACACCATCGGCACGATCCAGATCACCCCTTCCACTTCCTCCCCTTGCTCCCCTCTCTCCACCATATCACCACATCACAACAACAAAACCACTCGCCCCACCACCCCAGAGACGCAAACGCCAGTCCATCCTTTCGACTGTACTCAACAAACGCAAACGACACACAATCCTCCACCCCCACACAAATCACAACCGGAAGACATCCGGCCACCAGCGGCTGCAGCAACAAAACAATGCCAAAGTCACCCAACAATGCCTCTCTCTAAACGAAGGACTCTCCCGCGCCAAGGGGCAGGGAATCCATCCCCTGTCGTCAACATCCTCAAAGAACCTTCTAAACCGGGTAGCTGCGTCCCCAGACAAAGAGAACCTCCCACCGGAAGATGAAAAACTCCTGCTCAGAGGACACAACGATAGCGACGAAGGGGCTGTCGATGAGATGCATAAAGATGTGGGTGGGACCGCTGGTTGTTCACAATCTGCACCTGTGTCTTGCTCTACATGCAGGGGTTGTTCTCACAGCTACTGCGACTGCGACTGCAACTACAACTACGACTACAATTACTACTACGTTTACGATCACTGCTACTGCTACCCCTCTTATCTTCGGGGAGACGGTCTACCAACGCAGGTGGTGTCGACACCTTCACCCTCCCGAACAACAGTACCTTCGGATGAGATCAGGTGGTGGAATGATACGGACATCGAGATGAGGGCAAATCCAACGAGGGGCTCGAATGGTCTGGCGACGGAGGCTAGGGATTATACTCGCCAACAGCCGCCGCAGCAGGAGCAGCAGGAGCAGGACCAGACTTCCACATCCACCTCCCAGGGCTTAGTAGTGAGAAGGCCGCTGAACCCTGGAGCTGAAGATCAAAGGAAAGCGCGATCAGGTAGCCTCCACGCCCCTCCTCCCCCTTCTTCCTTCACTGCGCCGCGCAAGTCCTTCCCTTCAGCCGTAACCACCACTCGTAGTCGACTATTCGAAGGGACGATATCCTCACGGTCTAAGATGGTCGGAGCACCACCAGCAGTAACAGCCGCGACGAGAGCCACGGCAGGACCACAAGCGCAACAAGAGCCCCGGAGAGCGTCGGGTATCAATCCCACGCCGCCGAGAAGAGTGCGATGGACGAGCAAGTTTGAGAATCTGCGTGCTCAGGGCAACAGAGAGCAGCCGCAGCCGCAGTTGCAGCAGACGGGGACGAAGAGAGAATCGACGGGTCTGCGTGCAGCACCGACACCGGCGCCGGCACCTGCACCTGCACCCGCGATAGGTTCGAGGAGGGAGTCTTTTAGAAGGAATTCGCAACTGGCTCCTTCTGTTGCTGCTCCGGCACGGCTACCATCGACCGCGATAGGGCCGAAAAGGGAGCCTCTACGAAGGCATTCGCAAGTGGCTCCTCCTGTTGCTGTTGCTGCACAGCTGCCATCTACCACGATCGGGCCGAAAAGGGAGTCCCTACGAAGGAATTCGCAACTAGCTCCTCCTACTGCTGCTACTGTTGCTGCTCAACAGCTACCATCATCATCACCCCCGAGATTACGAGTTACACGGGCCCAGAAGGAAGATAGTAGTGGTAGCAGTAATGGACCTGGTCCCATTAGGGCTGGGTCTCCTGCTCCCACAGCAGCACGACAACCAGCAAGACCAGCACCAGCACCAGCAACCCACCGCAAACCTATCGTAACCATAACCCAGCCTCCCCAACAACCACAACCCCAACTCCGAAGAACCACCCTCCACCGCGCCCCAGAAGACCCTCAAAAGCAGCTGCTCATACCTGCTCCCCGGGCGGCCGCCACCACGAGCACCACGAGCACCACCACCACAACCCCGCGCCGCAGCTTCACCCACACGCGCATCGCCTCCCTCCCCTCGCTGGTCAAATCTCTCAACCGCCCCAAACTGATCGCGGACCCCAAATCCTTCGCCCAGGTCTGGGAAGCCCGACCCCCGGCCTACTGGCTGGGCCGGTTCGTGACCCTGACCAATACGTTCCACTACGAGGATTCGTTCCGGCAGCCCGACGCGGCCACGAGGTCCCCTGGGATGCTCTCAAGCTACCCGCAGCGGCCGCTGGCGGGGAAGGGGGTGGGTGATGGTGGTGGTGGTGGTGCTGCTGCTGCTGCTGCGGTGGGCGTGGACGCGGACGCGGATGCGGACGACGAGGATTCGCCAGGTTCCCGCGTCAAGCGGGCGTTCACGGTGCTTGAGAATGTGTGTGTGACGGACGAGGCGAGTGGGAGTTTCCGGGGGTTTCGGGATGCGTATGTGGTTAGGTTTGGGGATCGGTGGATGGATTGAAACTGGTTTTTTTCCCTGTGTGTGGGGTATGAGGGATGGAGTTCTCGGCTGTACTGTACTATAAAAGCCTGATACGAGTGTGCTTTTTTGTTCTTAGTGGTCATGATCACGGTGCTAGGTAGAGGAGTGGTTTTTTCTGTGTCTTTAGTGTGCTTTACTCCCCATTAGAAACCCAGGGCAGGTGGCCAGCACCTCCTGATCCATATATCTTTGCATGTTGTTTAATTTCCTAGTCGTCAATATATTTCTCCTATGATACATTTCCCTGCAGTTCTATCTATAACCCCTCATACCAGATTATAAGATCTTGTCTCGTCAAAAGTAAGCCGTGTAAGCCGTGAAACGCCAGACCACCCTCAAAATGAGCATCCAAGACCAATCTCCTCGTACTGTAAACATTCTTCACTTCCGACTCCGTAAGAAAGCGGCCACCTGTTCGTGCCGGGTCACGAAGAACATGCGCTTGCGGTCCGACTTCCAGACCAGCACGCCGATCTCCTCGGCGTAGCGGCAGGGGGCCTCGTACTCGGCGAGACTGACGAAGTCCTTGAACAGGAAGCCGGCGGTGGCCTGGACGCGGTCGCGCTCGAGCTGCCAGAGGCGGATCTGGTCGACGACGGTGGGGGGCAGAATGGACTGGGGGATGCCGGCCTGGTTGGAGGTGGAGCGGGAGGTGTTGTGCTTGCGCATCTGCGGGTGGGCGTGGGTGGACAGGTAGGAGATGATCTGGTCGGCGGTGATGCCCATCTCGACGGCGCGGCGGATGGACTGGCGGGTGATCTTGCCGGTGATCAGGTTGGGGAAGCGGTACTTGAGGGTGGTGAAGAGGGCGATGAGGCTGATCTGCAGCGGCGACGAGGTGTACGCATACAGCCGGTAGTTGGTTTCGATGATGATGAAGCCCGTGCCGGCTTTGTTGTCTTTAGAAGAGGAAGAGGGATCGCCGGTCGGATTGCCGGCCAGCGAGCCGGCGATGGGGTTGCTCAGCGCGCTCGAGTCCGAGGTGAGCGTCGTCGCTAGCCGGGTCGGGTAGAAGTGCGACGCCTCGGGCGACTCCTGGTAGACGATGCCGAAGTCGGCCAGGTCGGAGAGCGTGCGCAGCTGATTCGCCGTCAGGTGGCGCTTCTCGTACGACTGGCCCAGCTCCAGACTGCTCAGCAGGAACACGAACGAGAGCACCTCCACGCTGTCCATTCCGATCGCCTCGGCGCTCTCCACGTACAGGATCAGGATGTGCCACACCTGCGTGCTGACGTCCTGCAGCACGAACGCAAACCCGTCCTTGGTGATGTCCACGCGCGTGCCGCGGATCTCGACCAGATGGCCCGCCTGCAGCAGCTGCTTCACGCCTTTGCTCAGGTTGACGTCCCGCTGAATCCCGAGCCCGCTCGTCCCCACCATGTAGCCCAGCACACCTTCCCACTGCCTCCGCGCGTAGTCGTCCAGGCCCGCGATGGTGACCGCCGACGCGTTGGGCGGGTGTGCCAGAACGCCAAAGGACTGGGTTTGCTCGGCCCCCGTGAGGGCGTGTCGCAGCGAGGCAGCGAACGGGTTCGTGACCATGTAGGCTCGGACATTGTTCGCGATGACGGTATTCGACAGGATATGTAGCCGGCCGAGAATCGAAAGTGCATTATCACGTTCCCTTCACGCCGGCGTTTTCATTAGCAACTAAACTCAAGCCAGCGTACACACGCTCCATTACAGAGTCAGCCCAACCAGATAGCAGACTCACTTTAAGCTCTCGGATTTCACCCAGACCTCCAGATCCGCTGCGGGGAGCGGATCCTTGAGGTACAGCAAGGCCATCACAAAACATTTTGCTATAGCGATCCAGGATTAGTCTCAGAAGCATACTGCTTGGCCATAGGGATAGCTGGCATACCCAAGTCAGGCAGCATGCGCCTGAAGATGGCGAGGGCGGTTGATGGCTGCTGATAAAGCTTGAAGAAGACCGTGCCAGGAAGGCTTTCGAGATATTCGAACGGACGAGACGATGGTGCAGCAGCCATCTTGTCTGCACAAATCACCTCTGCAGCATGGTGCGACCAGGGAGAGAGGGAGGAATCACCGGGTCGAGCTGAGTCGCCTTCAACCCTGAAGTAATAATACCTTCGAAGAAAGCTCCTGTGAAAGCTTGGTGTGAGTGAGTGGGTGAGTGTGTTTGACACAAAAAGAATCGCGGAGAGCGGTTCGGGGGGCGAGACCACCACCAAGCGCAGTCCGCGGCGATGACTAGTAGGTTACGATGACTGTAGCTCATCTATCTCCGCAACTCGACTCAATTGAATTGTTTTTGGCTGACCCTCATCATGACTTCCTTGCGCTTTGTTAGATCTGTAAGTGACTGTAATATTACTCTTTATTCACATTCGTTTTACTAATTGTTCCTTCGCAGGTCTGGGAGTCCTTTCGGGCCAATTCGGGGCTGGAGCCTCGGTAAGTCAATACAAACGGCTCTTCTGCATCGAAATGAGTTCCTCGCCATTGACAGCCCAACGATTGTGAGGATGAAGTCTATTAGACGGTGTAAGCCATCCTGAACCCGTTTGCACTCTTATACCTGTTATATGCGCACTTGCATGAACTATATACATCGCCGACGGCTTCGTCGCAACCGGAGTCCCGTCCGGCCTATCAACACGTCAACCAAGAAGACATCGCATCAACCAACTAACACCACCTGCACACAACAGCTCCGCGTAACAGCGGCCAGACCCGGCAGAGTCAACTTCGAACTCGACATCAAGAAAGAGCACACAGTAAGCCATTTCCAGTGTAGCAGCAAGTACAGTTCAAGCCGAGTAACGTCCGCAACCCAGAACCGTTTGCAAATCCTCCATGGCGGAACCATCGCCAGCATGGGTACGTAGCCAAATGTGCCCTCTCTTTGCTCTCCGCATTGAAACTAACATCCATTGTCCCCAGTTGACCTAGGCGGTTCCCTGGCCGTAGCCTCCCGCGGTCTCTTCGCCACGGGAGTATCAACCGACCTCAACGGTGAGTGACGTCGCGGCCACGCAACCCAATCGTTTTCCCCCAGATAACCAACCAAGGCCCATGGGCCATGCCAATAATTCTAACTCATCTGCAACATAAGTGACCTATCTCAGCTCCGGCGGTAAGGTCGGAGACAAGATTCTAGCGGTACGTACTGTAATCCCCAAACCCCGGGGTCAATACCCCGCGTTTGGATCCAGCTTCCTCGTGCGATTACGGTACCAGAATATCATGCTGATTTCGCCCATGCACAGGAGGTCAAATGTGATAAATGTAGGCCCTGCCTGCTGTCGATGACCAGATCTCATTCAACACACGTGGACTCTAATTGATGTTAATGCAGTCGGCAAAACCCTGGCTTACACCTCGATCAAATTCCTCAATGAGAAGGGTGATGTCTTTGCGCGGGGCAGCCACACTAAGTATGTACTTCCCCTCTCAACTTGTACAACAATGCGGGGTGGGGGCTTGGGCTTATGGACACTCTCTCGATCAGGTTCGTCGCCCTTGCTTGGAAGGATTCGCAGAATATCGTCGAGGAGATGGCAAAGGAGGAGGAACGGCAGTCCTCATCGAAGAGCGAGGCTTAAGTAGGTTCCCTATCTTGAGCGCACCTGGGTGAAGGTGGTGATCTGCGGATCGGATTGTCGGAGACACGACTCGTGCCTTTGTAGAACAAAAGGACGGCGAGACGAGGGTAAGAGACCGTAGCGCTGAGCTATGTATAGATGTACTGTATATATGTTAGGACCTCACGCTTCCAGCTGTCTGCAGAATCTCTTCTCGATCATCAAGCCACGGTCTTACAGAGCGCATATATACGGCGGGAAAGTTGATAGAAAGAAAAGATTTTGTCATGACTGTGGCATTCCTAAAGAAGCGCCCAGTCCTTCACATGTTCATGAATTCGCTTCCCAATGGAACCAGGGTACTAGTAGTTAAAGAGAGGCATACATAAAAGAGACGTACATGGATGGGGGAGAGTAGATAGGTAAGTTGCAGGATCGAAGATGGCCGATGAAGGCATATCATTTTAAACGCCGGGGAGGGTATGTTCGTGCAGAGGGTCATCATCCATGTCTTCGCCGGTCCCCATCATGACCTCATCTTCGTCGATGACCTGATCCTCGTCGGCAACCTGCACTTCATTGTCGATGGCAATGTTGTCTTCGCCCATCGCCTTGAGCTTCGCCTGGGTCATTTCGAACACGTACTGCCCAAGATGCTCGACGCTCTCCATTGGAGTGCCTTGAACTTCGTCATCCTGCAAGCGGGCGGAGGGGAACATCTCCCCAGGTGCAAGCATGAGCTTATCCGGACGCTGGAACAGAAGGTCGAACGCCGGCTTCAGCTCGTAGCATGATTCGAATACTTCGCGGCGACCGAGGATGTATAGTCCCAGCCGAGCGCGAGAGAGCGCAACGGTCAGACGACGGACATCACGGAGGTATCCGACGGTACGCGTCCGCGTAAGGGAAAGAATGACATCTACAACAAATGGATTAGTATAGCTGCCAAGAAAGGTCATATCAACGATAGGATGACTTACAATCGTTCTGTTCACCCTGGTATTTGTCGACTGTAGTAACAATCTTAGGCATGCCGAACAATCCATTCTTGGCACAGCGGTGGCTCAAGACATCCTTGATCAAGGCCATTTGGCCGGCGTACGTTGCAAGGATCGAGATCTTCGAAGCAGGATATCCAAGAAGACGCATGTACTGATAGATGGCGACGGCATACTCGGCCTCGCCCAGGTTCTGGATGAAATGCGGCGTTGGTTCCCGCTCCCCGTTACCTTGATAGTCGGGGACGTTGATGAATTGGTAGTCAAATTGGAAACCAGCATTTGCTCGTCTGTACTCTTCCACCGTTTCAACAGTGGGAAGATTTCCAAGCTGTTTGTAGCGCCACTGGAAGAGCTCCGCAATACTCGGTCTGGAACGGCCCTGTTGATCGAGTGTGATAACAGGAACACCCAGTCTCACCAGCCGCAGGAAAAGACTCTGTTCGAAATGTGCGTATTGCCGGAAGGCCATGTTCTGAATAATGGGCGAGTTTTGTAAATGGTCACCACAAAGAACCACGCGCTTGAGAGGAAGTTCGCCGTTCTTCATGTTCTGCAGCGCAGTGGGAATGAAACATTCAATCTCTGTGATTTGTGCGGCTTCTTCCATAATGACATTGTCGTAGTGGAAGCCTAGATCAGCAATCTCCTGACGGCGCATCGCTGCATGCGTCGATGTCATGGCTATTATCCGCGCTTCCTTCACAAGGAGATAGTTGGCCTTGTCCTTCTGCTGGCGTAGAATCTCAAACGGCCGGATATCTTCCAGCTCAGCGAAAATCTTATCGATGTGCCGCTGGCAGCCCTTCGCTACATCAAGTACAGTTTCTTTTGGTGCGGTAGGTTCGAAGACGGGCTGCGGTGCGTTTGAGAAATAGTCATGGAAAGGGAAAGCTGCAACGACTTCCTCGTTGGAAACATTCTCGGCACGCGCGTGATCCCAGAACTTGGCCCAAGCAGGCTGAATGTAGACGGTGTTGAAATAACCGGCAGTTTCGCAGGAGTTCCCATGGGCCCCTTGGGCTCCAATTGATGTAGCCAGTCGAGTGACCTCACTGAGGAAGAAATTGCGGTTTTCAAGGAACGACTCAACTCGGCCGTACTTGCTGTAGTTAGAATCAGTTTCTAGCTCTTCCTCACCATGACCAAGACGGAGAAGATGACGTTCGTCAATGTCAAGAGCCACAATCTTCTGGAAGAGCTGGTTCAGTGCTTGGTTGCTGTGCGCGATAAGGAGTGTACGCTCATTAGGGAAGTCGTGGTAGATGTTGTTGATGATTTGCGTGGCGACATCAGTCTTGCCAGTGCCAGGAGGGCCGACAATGACAGTCAACCCAGGCTGGGTCCCTGACGTGATAGCCTCAACTTGCGCCGGAGTGAAGCGCACTGTGTTCAATTTAGGAGCATCGATCGGATAGGGGCCTGGGTGTGGCGGTTTGTATGTCGAAACGCGCAGTGACTTGGGGCCTGATGCCTTTTCCGACTGATCTTTGCGTCGCCTCTTCGTGCCCATTGACGGGGCCTGAGAAGGTTCTTCAACATATTCCAATACATACGGGGGGCCGAAACTGGACGTTTCACTGGTCGAGGGCTCGATGGTCCTTCCGGGGAAGCTTTCAATCAGATGTTGCCAGTCCAAAAATGTGTCTCGGAAATCGACCGACTTGAGTCGATTGGACAACTCGGTGTATCGAGCCCCGGCCGGGTCCCCGTAGCCTAAGAAAATATCCTGAATCCAGGAAGGCAGGGCGATGTCGGAGACGATCAACTTCTGCATAGTATCGAGGATCGATTTAAAGTTGTTCTCTCTTCCCCTCCTCCTGGCAACCACGTTGATCGACGAGTAAATGTCCGGCTTTCCTCGGGCAAGTGCATCCCTGTCTGCCTTGAAAGCAGCGGGGTCCAGATTGACCAACAACTTCCGGACACGAGGTTTGTGTTTGTAGCCATTGGACTGGCCGGAAGAGAAATCTCGCAAGGGTCGCCCATTCTCGTCTAGCACCTGAACTATCGCTGCGGTTCGAAGGTGTGTCAGTCCGGGAGCTTCAGACTCACGAAGTCCAGACTTCGCGGCGCCATCTGTCTGCACAGCCAAGAGAAAAATGACATCATCTGGACGCAGAGAGTCCCATTCCCTGCGAATGTGGTCTGCTAACCTGCCCACCTCGATAGCGATTTCAGCCCTGACAAAAGCAGGCTTGGCGGAGCCGACCTTGGGGGGAGCGACTTCAATTATAGCGGGCTTCGTAATCGGGATAGCCATCCTGGAGAAACCATCAAATGTCAAAGTCTTAGCGTCGCGACTTGCGCGGGGCTGCATCCGCTTGATGACTGACTCCATATCTTTCCGGATCTGGAAGAAAGCCTCGGAGCGGTATAGGAGGAATGAACGCCAGAGGAAGTCGCCAGTGCTGAGGTATTGTAGGTTCAATTTGGGAATAGCTAGCGGGGTAGACCCATCGTAATTCTCATTGCGCAGCAATGCGGGATCATATAGATCAACCTCCGTGGGAACAATGCTGAGCTGCGACGCAGCTTCTTGAAAGGTCGGCTTCCGTTCATAGAATGAGAGGAGGATCTCCATGTACAGTTGGCGGTCGGGTGTGATTTGCGACTGTTTAGGGTACTCGGTCCGGAATCCAAGATGGCTGCAGAGCTTCTGCAGTTCGTCCTCCTCCAACGATGCCAATTGACCTTCCAGTTCCGAGCGTTGCTCAATAGAACCGTAGTTGGACAGGGCCAGGATCATAAGCTTGTCCTTGAAGTATTTCATAGAAGTCCTCTGCAAACGTGCCAGCTCCTGACAGTGGACATCGTAGACTGACTGAGGGGATAGAGCTTCCCCTGTGAAGTCATCAATGGCGAACGATGCAAAGTGCTTCAGCAGACCACTGAGGTCGCGGAAGAGCGCATTATCGGGTGAGCGGTAGAGCTGCGACAGACGGAGAACCGCTAGCAGATTAAGATCCTTCAAAAGCGTGTTGACGTAGCGCCGGGTGGGGGGCTGGCTTTCCAGATCGACGAGGAACTCAAGAAATCGCTCACAGTATCTCAGGTTCTGTGTCTGGTCTTTATCGGCGCCGTTCAATCTGCGGAGGAAATCCAAGACCATCGTGTACAGCCATGACCTCTCGAAGCGAATCTTCGCCTTGGCAGCTTCATCTCCCGCGTCATATCGTTTGGCTGCAGCTCGCCATGCCTTTTTCAGACCCGGACTCTTCGCTAATAATGAATCTCTTGCCCCTTCGCTGGAGAGGTTGTGCCAGATGGAGATGGAAACGAGCGGTGCGCACTCTTTGCGGATTAAGGTATTTTCGACGGATTGGAAAGCACTGATTATGAAGGAAATGATGGATAGTCGTGGCGAGGCATCGAGGGAGGGATCAATGCTCATCGAGAGGATTCGATGGAAAAGGTTCGAGAAATCGTCCGGGCGATCGGAGAAGACCTCTAGACTTCGATTAGTAGGTTCTCCGCAGAGAATATTTCGTGCACGTTGTCGAGCTTACCCCATATCGGTAAGTGTTCGCGTTGCTTGACACTCACAATCAAGACGAGCAGCAACACATGGTAATTCGACGCATCTTCAGTGTAGGTCGGCCAAAGGTACCTGCAATCAGCGAGTTAGCCATCAGTCTTGTCTCCAGAGCTAACCTATTTATCTCGAAAGGATGGGCGCGCGCATACTTTTCCAAGATGTTCAAGTTCTCCAGGGTGAGAAGCGAGCGAAAGCCGAAATTTTCAGCCTCGAGGGGATCCCAGATCTCCTTTTTTATGACATCCTGCTTGACTTTGCGGGTTTTGGAGCCCTCCAGCCAGTGGGATTTCGCCAACTGCACCCATGGACTGTCTTCCCGAAAGTCGTCCACGTTCGGTCTGGAGTCAAGGGCCGGCGCCATCGCCTGACGTGTCTGAAGGCCCATTCCTAGACGTGAGGAGGAGGAAATTGGGGGGGAAGGAGGAGGAGAAGAAGGAGGGGGAGGAGAAGAATTGCTTCAACTGGACTCCGGGGCGTGGTCGTCTCCGATCAGTAACTGCGCAAGTGGTCCGTTGCGGCGGGATTGGGAAAGCTTCTGGCGCGCGCCTACCGGCCGCATTAATCCTCCAGCGGTTAGGACCCGCAGAGCCGCAGCCAGTCAGTCACCCCATCATCCGCCGCGATTGTTACGGCTTTCCCTGTGTTCACGCCTTAGTCAACCCTTCTTATTCACTTTCTCATTCAAACCGCACCAACCTCGTTGCTACTACGTTGCTCGAAAGTATGGCGGAG